TTTAATTCACAACTGCAATATCGTGAACTTAATCTTCCACAAACACGGCTTTGACTCATATAGTGCAAGAAATTTCCGCCAAAATACTTCTTACTTAGAAAATTTAGCTAATTTCACCACTCTCGACACCAGCATGCTGGTACAATCACACCACAAGAACATACACGGTTAATCGCCCTGATGGGCCACTTAACAAATTAAGCATATTAAGGGCCGTAAACTTATCTATTTTAAACTATAGTTAAATCGTTAATAGATAAGTTAACAGCCCTAACACTTTTACAGTATGTACATATGTATAAAAACGTAAGGAACATACAATACATCTATGTTTATATATCAGTCCTTCTTAGTGTAAAAATTCATCTCTTACATAAATATAAAAAAAAAAAGATCAAATTAAGCATACACAACTTTTTCATGCCGAGTATGAATAAATTCTCCAAAGGGCTAAAAAAGGGCTGGGGCAATTTTAAATTTATGTGTCCAAAAAAAGTATGTGGTAGCCACCAAAGAGCAAAACGGCAACACTGATCACAAGTCATGAGGTGCAACTCTCCTACTCCTACATTCTCCTGTGGATATTCAGAAACGACAGTAGATATCGACGCCATAGTAAACATTTACTTTTACGTATATTAACCATATCTTTATTAACTATTGTACAGTGCTTATTTTTTGAACACGAAATTAATCGATCCTTCAAGTGGTTTTGATTAATTACTCAGAATAGGTAGTTAAAAATTTTCAGTACAAAAATCTTTTCTTAATTTTTGAGTCCGGGGAGAGTTCTCTAACCCGCAAGAGAAAACTGAAGTAATCAGATTCTCTGAAAGCATATATATGGAGAGTTTAAAATACTTTACCGTTCTCTCAGCTCGTCTTCCAGGACTTCTTTTTTAAGTTTCGATATGAAACAAAAACAGGGATGAAAGCGAATAAATGGAACTATTTTTCATTCTCCTATGTCCCGCTGAGACGCTGCCTATCGAAATGAAAGTAACAATGCTTTGCTCAATATAAAAATTGTAAAAGCTTTCGAGGCAAATATTTAGTGGTTCAATGATTCTTAAATTTGAATAGTTTGTGCAAAGTTTCCGATCGAGCACTTTAATTTGATGTATAATAGTAGACCGCTGGGAATAAGCGCCTTGTTTTAGAATAATATTTATGTACGAGTATGTATGTAGATAAATAATAAATAATCGAAAAAAAATCTTTATTTCATTACATGTGGTCATTGTTGTTTAGCCACAAAACCCTTGTTATAAAATATAATAGAAGTTTTTTTTTACTCTGTACTTACAATATTGCAGTCAATAAAAATCACGACAAATATTTTTCATTATTTCTGCTGATTGAAAAAGTACCTATTTGACCGTTACTGTAAATTTTCTACTAAACGAGCATATATTTCTTGGGACGTAATTTAAGAAATTTTGATAGAAGAAAATTTCTTTTTAATTTCTTGAATGTCATTTTTTTTGAATTTTTCGTTTTTGTTAATGGCCTTATTCTTAAAAAATAAAGTATGTTTAAAGCATGGTAGAAAAAAGAAGGTAGTTTCAATTAATGACATTAGCAGCCGTGTTAGCCATTTGACTTTTGCTAGGATTTTTCCATTTTCATCAAAATCTAGCTACCAGACTGAAAATTATAATATAATTTTTTTCTGAAATAAACTGGGCATAGCAAAAAACAAAATAATAAAAAGAAAAATGAGTTGCGCATTTGGAAGCTGCAAAAATACAAAATACTCCCAGGAAGACGGTACACATGTTTTTAAATTTCCAGCGCTTTCTTTTGTGAATTCGACATTTAAATCTGAAGTTAAAAGATAAGAAACCTAATATGAAAATAAGAAGACCAGAAAAAATTACATCTTGATGGGTTTGTTGAATTCAGAGCTGGGTAATTTTTGATTACGATTACATTTCAATTACGATTACGTAATTGTAATCCTTAAATTATTGTATACATTTTTTCCGGGTGTATAATGAAATCCTGATATACAAACTACCGAAATACAGAATCCCGAAAGGCATAATCCAGACACGGCCTAATCCCGACCATACATAATCCCGACAAGACACAATCCAGACAAGAAATCCCGACAAAATATAAAAATAATTAATAAAATCGCGCGATTTTTTTAATTATTTTTATATTTTGTCGGGATTTTTGTCATGATTGTCTTCTGTTTTCACTCAAAAATAATAGGTTTATTCCACACGCCTTCCGGGCTGTTTTGGTAATTAGAGCGTAAAAATAAGTTATCTCTCACAAGTGCCAAGCCAACCCGTGCCCAGAGCGTGAGGAACGCAAAAAACCACTGTAATGCGATAAAAGCATATAATTTGCCACCCTACTGAATTACTACAAACTACCTTATATGAATACGCCTTAGGCTAATCTAGTACAATTAAGAACTTAGAATTTACGATATTCGAATGCGACCCTGTCATATGTATGACAGCTGCTAGGCTTATGTCAAAATGTGAAAAATATATTGGCGGATTCGCCCGCGTACCTTCAACTCGAACACAAGTACTTTTTCTTTAAATTAAATTCGACCTGCTAGCCACCAAGGCATCAGGTGCAGTCAGCAGCTTCGGGCAACAAACGTTTGCCTGCACCAACGCAGCCCCAAGCAGGCGTTGGCCGGAATCAGAGCCGGCGGAGCACCAGGGCTCCACGAGAAGCAGCCAGCAGCACTGCCCTTTACAAGTCGGGCGTTGGCCGGCATCAGAGCCGGCGGAGCACCAGGGCTCCACGTGAATTCAGCAGGTACGCCCGTGAATTAACGAAGTGGAATTTTACCACTTCGACATGGCGACCGTGGGTCCGGCCCACAAAATGGCGGCCACCTACATATATATATAAAAAAAAAAGAATTTGGAAACAAAATGTAACAAAAAAATATAAAACGCAAAAAAAATAAAAAATAAGTAAATAAGTTGAAATAAAATTTGTTGGTGGTAGTTGCAACCATGGTACAAGTATTTAAAGCAAAGGAAATCCTTACAAAAATTACAAAACTCAAAAACTGACAACGCGCATAAATGCATATATATGCGCATACATATGTGGCGGTTACAAACAGTTACAAAAAAAAAGTTTATTAAAAATATAAAGTGGTGGCGGTGCAGAACATTGAAAAATTAAACACTTGAGAACTAAACAAGAAATAAAACAAAATACCTGAATACAAAACAGGAAAAATCCAAACGAAAATGGCTTAAGAACGGAAAACTTGAAATTAAAACAAGAAAAAAAATCAAAAAATAGCGGTGGTCCCAAATTTGAACAAAAAATAAATGAAATATGATGCACTACGTGCGAAACAACACAATATCTTTTTCGTAAATTCAATATGTAACAAAATTTTTGTAATTATGTATTTCATATATTTTTCATTATATTCATTCAAATTCTTGCTAAATCGTTTTGCTCTATTCAAACTTTTGGATTGTCAAACATACTTTTAATACCTACTGTACTTATTATACCTACATACATACAAATATTAATACACATTTTTGTCTATACACATATGTATATGTTACTGCTTTTTCTTCTGGCATTTCAGCTTCAGTGGTATAGTGAGGTACAAATATTAATATTTTTTTAAACGTAACTTCAACAATTTAAAGTTTTCAATAAAATTTTTCTTCAATTCTTTGCAACATTAGGCAAGAGTCAGATTTTGGAATTTTCATTAATTTTTCTTTTTTCAAATATTCGATAAAAATTTCATACGAATTTTCGCCTGTGCCATTGCCGTGCTTTTATACTACAACTTAGAATTTCGTTTGAAATATGGTAAAATATTTCAACGATTATAATTATCAATAAACGTTTTCCTCAATTTTCTATGCCGTGGTAGCCAAACTTCAAATATTACAACTTTATTCAAATAATTTTTTTCAATAATACAATAGTTCGATAGTTTTTATAGATCTTTTGCTTTTCGTGTGTGCCAGATGTCAGATGTTGAACTTGAGTTCAAAGATTTTCAAGCAAAATTTTCAAAAGTTACCAAGCGTGTTCTTCAAAGCCGTCCACTCTCAACAAATCTGGAAAAAGTTGACGAATATAAAAAATCTTTAATCGAAACTTACAACGATATTTTAATTCAAGTAAACAATTCGGAACAACAAGGAAACAAGCCAGCTTCTATAATTAAAAGTTTGCCGCGGTGCAGAGAAAAGCTACTTCAGTGTTTTCAAAAAATTGGGTGTAAAGTTGAAGTACCCGAAGATTTTTCAATTCTTATAAAAAAAGATTTTATATTCCGAAGTAGATTCCGACAACGACTTTGCTGACGCTTGTTCAGCTGGCACACCAGAAGTTTCCACCGTTAAAAAAAGTTGTTCTTTGCCTTCATTTAAAGATTTTTTACAAATTGAAGAAACACCTTGCGTTACGATTACTTCACCGAATATACAAACGATGTAAAAATGGCAACACCTGAGCAAACGAAATCTTTCATTAGCTTGTGTGCATCTATAATCCAAGAAAACTATACTGGTGACCCCCTATCGCTCGACTCATTCATTGACAAAATCAATTTTATAGAAGAATTGTCGGATGAAAGTTTAACTACAACATTTATAGCATTTTTAAAGTCAAAACTCGAAGGCAAAGCGCGTGAGGTGTTACCCAGTCAAATAATTTCGGTTTCTCAAATAAAAGTTGCGCTACGTAGCAGAATCAAACCAGATAATTCCAAAGTTGTCTCTGGCAAAATCGCGTCATTACATATTACTAAGAACAACTATTCCGATTTTGCAAAGCGAGTAGAGGAATTATCTGATGCATTAGAGCGATCTTTAATTATTGAGGGAATGACTCAAGCGAAAGCCCATGAGTTAGCGGTAGAGCAGACAGTAAATGTTTGCAGGCTGAACAGCCGTTCAGAGCTAGTGAAATCTATTTTGGCAGCAACAACCTTTACAGATTCAAAAGATGTAGTCGCGCAAATGATTGTAGAACACAATAATGAAGTCAAAGAGCGGCAGGTGTTATCTTTTAGGTCACGGGCAAATGGACCAAATAGTTTTCGAGGAGGTTTCAGAGGACACAACAACTATGGCTATCACAACAATAGTTTCAATACAAATAGGCACAATAATGGCAATAACTCAAGGTACAATAGTCAAAATAATTACAATNCTTTTAGGTCACGGGCAAATAGACCAAATAGTTTTCGAGGAGGTTTTAGAGGGCCCAACAACTATGGCTATCACAACAAAAGTTTCAGGTATAATATTGGCAATACAAATAGGCACAATAATGGCAATAACACAAGGTACAATAGTCAAAATAATTACAATAGAAGTAACAACTTTAACAATGGACAAAATAACTACAGAAATAGCACAAGCAATCGTTCAGCAAGCAACAGAAATAGCTCTTCTCGTTCGAATTCTAGAAACACTTCTAATATTCGATTTTTAAACGCCGATACCCCTCAGGAGCACTGGGGGAGCAGGAGCTAAGCAATTAAAAGTAGTTACCCCTGAAAAATCAATTTACTGCTTGAACTTTAACTATTCTGACTTTATTAAATTAAATTGTACCGATTCTTACAAATTATGCTCGTTTCTCGTAGATTCACAGGCAGACATCTCTTTAATCAAGATTTCCAGTTTAGCAAGAAATTCATCAATTAACAGTACCAATACCATAAACATCACTGGTGTAACAACTGAAACGGTTACAACATTGTACAGACTTGGTTGTATCAAATTTTTTTATTCCGCATACTCTTCACGTTGTAGATGACAGTTTTAATATACCTTCTGACGGCATACTAGGCAAGGACTTTTTAAAGACGAACAGATGTATTATTAACTACGCAAATGACAGTATAACTATCGGCATCGGGACAGAAAGCACTAAAATAGCAATTGTACACGGTTCAAATACCGACACTTTAGTCATTCCTCCAAGATGTGAAGTTTTTCGTTTATTTAAATTGACTAATTCCAAAAACCCTGTTTTCGTAGACTCTCACGAGCTTTGCTCTGGTGTTTTTACATCAAAATGTGTCGTTGACACAACAAATCCAATTTTAAAAGTAATAAATACTACGGACGAGGTAAAATACGTTCGTAACTATAACATCAAAGCTGAGGATATAAGTAACTATAATGTCTACAAAATAAACGAAACTTCCCAAGAGACAAAACGTTTAGAGGAACTAAAGTCAATTTTACAAAAACAAATGCCAAAATATGCTAAAAACAAATTGCTTGAATTATGTTTACAATACGCCGATGTATTTGCCTTAAAAACAGACCGTATGACACTCAACAACTTTTACGAACAGAAACTTCGACTGAATGACAAGACTCCCGTTTATATCAAAAACTATCGATTGCCGTACTCACAACGCGAAGAAATAAATAGACAAGTCGATACTTTACTGCGAAATGACTTAATCGAACCAAGCTCCTCTAATTATAACAGTCCATTAATTTTAGTACCAAAAAAAGATCCATCCGGCCAAAAATCGTACCGCATGTGCGTTGACTTTAGGGCGGTTAATAAAAAGCTTATCGCTGACAAATTTCCACTAGCACGTGTGGACGACATATTAGACAACCTTGGTCGAGCAAAATACTTTTCGACTTTAGATCTGTTTTCTGGTTTCCATCAAATTCCATTGCATAAAAACTCGCGAGATATAACATCTTTCAGCACTGACAAGGGAGCTTTTCGCTGGAAAGTTTTACCATTCGGTTTAAATGTAGCACCGAATTCTTTTTCTCGAATGATGTCAATAGCCTTTTCAGGCATTTCTCCAAATCAAGCTTTTTTATACGTTGATGACGTCATAGTTATAGGTTGTAGTGAGACTCACCATTTAAAAAATCTAGCTAAAGTGTTCGAAACTTGCAGAAAGTTTAATCTCAAGCTAAACCCCACAAAATGCAATTTTCTTCGTTCTGAGGTAACATTTTTAGGGCACAAGTGCTCAGAAAAGGGACTGCTGCCAGACGATTCAAAAATTAACGCAATAAAAAAGTATACAAAACCTTCAGATAAAGACGCTGTTCGTCGATTCGTTGCGTTTGCAAATTATTATAGACGCTTCATACCTAACTTTGCGTCGCTGGCAGCACCTTTGAATAGTCTGAGTAGAAAAAATGTCGAATTCTTAGGGGAAACTGCATTTCAACACTTAAAATCAGCCTTAATGTCTTCTGAACTTTTGCAATATCCTGATTTTACTAAAAAAAGTTTAATAACTGTAGATGCTTCTAAAAACGGGTGCGGTGCTATATTAAGCCAAAATCATAATGGCAACGACTTACCAATATGTTTCGCTTCTAAATCTTTCAACAAAGCAGAACAAAATAAACCTATTATAGAACTAGAACTTTTAGCTATATATTTTGCTATTAAGCATTTTCGACCTTATGTTTACGGCACTCACTTTAAGGTGAAGTCTGACCATCGACCTTTAGTGTATCTTTTCAATATGAAGGACCCGTCTTCAAAACTTGCTAGAATACGGCTAAAACTGTCAGAATACAACTTTACAATTGAATACATAAAAGGCAAATCAAACGTGGGAGCAGACGCACTTTCACGCATTACCATTAACGAACTAAAAGACTCTACAAAACATGTTTTAGCTATGAAAACGCGATCAATGACAAAAACAATAGAATTACAAAACGAAAACAACTACACGGACAACCCTACAGTACAAGTTTACGATAAATTTTCATATAATTTTTCTAAAAATATACCGCGAATAGTAACGCATTTTCGCTACGATAAAGATAACAAAATTTCAAATATTCAAATATGTGCACATTTAAACACACAAAAAACAAGAATTACTTAATTTTTCGAATGTTAACGAAACAGCTTGTTTATACANATAATGACCCCATAACAGGCGGACACTGCGGAATTAAAAAACTATATGCAAAATTACGTACAAAATATCACTGGAAAAATATGACCCGTGATATATCCAAGTTTGTTAAAAATTGTTCAAAATGTTTATTAAACAAGGTTAAACCTAAAAACAAGGAAAATCTTGTTTTAACGCCAACACCTTGCAAACCATTTGACATTATTGTAATCGATACATTAGGACCCCTACCAGAATCAAATAATGGTAATAGGTTCGCAATTACCATTATATGCGATTTAACAAAGTATTTAGTAACAGTAGCTGTGCCAGATAAAAGCGCTAAAACTATTGCATCTCCCATTTTCGAAAGTTTTGTCTTAACTTACGGTGTAATGAATTCCATTAAATCAGGTTAAACACGATTTTTCAACCGCACACCATCATGAAACTGTGGTTAAAAATAAATTAGCAAATTTCGAGATGGAGATTTTTTCCATAGTTAGGTTAGGTCAGGTTAAGTGGGCGGCACTGAGATGTGTTCACTTGGAGGCCACAAAGGCCCATTGCGATGCCCAGTAAGTAGTAAGTAGTTATTAAGTGTAAATATTTTAGCCTTTTTAGACTAAACCAAACAAGTCTAGTACATGATATACATATGTATTGAAAATATGTACATAGAAATAATGCATTTTAACTCCGAAATACAATGGATAATGGCATCCTTCTTACGTTTATGGTATTTCTCACCCCAACCCCAAACTGGAAATTATGGAATATATGGAAATATGTGCATGTATCTTGCGTTAACATTATTAAAAGATTTTCTTTAATAAATTCAACCAGAGCTGGAAACTACGATTACGATTACATTTTGATTTCTTAGGATTACGATTATTGTAATTGTAATCCCGAAAATTTTCAGCATTACGATTACTGTAATTGTAATTATAACATGCTTGATTGCGAATACTTTAATTGTAATCCTTAAAATTTGACGATTACAACTACTGTAGTCGTAATCGTACTTTTTATGATTACGATTATAGCAATCGTAATCCTTAACATTTCCAAGATTAAATTACCGTAATTGTAAACATGAAAATTACGATTACAGTAGTCGTAATCGTTAAATTTTTAGGATTACAATTAAAGTAATCGCAATCATGCAATTCATGATTTTGATTACAGTAATAAAGAAATTAGTTTTGCTTAGAGCAAATATTTATTTTTATACACTAAAATGGATTTAAATTATGCATTCGCCTATTTGTTTGAAATTGTTTTAATAATATACACAGACTCGTGGTCTCAGTATTTCCAATAAAGTTTGATTTTGATTCACTGTCCACCTTGATGTTGTCACACAAAGTGGAGGGACCTACAGTTTTACGACGACCCGGAAGGCGAACGCATTTTTAGGAGAAGCTGTTTCTCATGACAGAAATACATTCGGAGGTTTGCCATTGCCTGCCGAGAAGCGACCGCGTTTTTTGTTTTTAATTTTTTGACGTTGGCTTGAACCGGGCTTGAATACACGCCCTGGAAATGGTAGCGCACACTGCTAACCACTACACCACAGCGGCCGCTGTGTAACTGTATTATTTCAACTTTAAATCAATTTTACATACTTTTCGGTGAAAGTTCGGCTCATTTACTTAACTACAAAATCTCTGCAGTATATCAGAAAATCGCAATCAACATTTTCTTGATTACGATTACGTTAATTGTAATCATAATATTTTTAGGATTACAATTAAAGTATTCGTAATCATAATTTTCATGATTACAATTACTGTAATTGTAATCTTAAAATTTTCATGATTACAAAAACTGTAATCTTAAAATTTTTAGGATTACAATTACGGTATTCGTAATCATGATTTCCATGATTTCGATTATAGTAATCATAGTCCCTAAATTTTTAAGATTACAATTATTATAATCATAATGGTAACATTTATGATTACAATTAAAGTAGTCGTAATCGTATATAATTAAAGGATTACAATTACGCAATCGTAAATGAAATGTAATCGTAATCAAAAATTACCCAGCTCTGAATTCAACAAACCCATCAAGATGTAATTTTTTCTGGTCTTCTTATTTTCATATTAGGTTTCTTATCTTTTAACTTCAGATTTAAATGTCGAATTCACAAAAGAAAGCGCTGGAAATTTAAAAACATGTGTACCGTCTTCCTGGGAGTATTTTGTATTTTTGCAGCTTCCAAATGCGCAACTCATTTTTCTTTTTATTATTTTGTTTTTTGCTATGCCCAGTTTATTTCAGAAAAAAAATATATTATAATTTTCAGTCTGGTAGCTAGATTTTGATGAAAATGGAAAAATCCTAGCAAAAGTCAAATGGCTAACACGGCTGCTAATGTCATTAATTGAAACTACCTTCTTTTTTCTACCATGCTTTAAACCTATTTTATTTTGTAAGATTAAGGCCATTAACAAAAACGAAAAATTCAAATAAAATTACGTTCAAGAAATTAAAAAGAAATTTTCGTCTATCAAAATTTCTTAAATTACCTCTCAACAAATATATGCTCGTTTAGTAGAAAATTTACAGTAACGGTCAAATAGGTA